CACCCTCCTCCTGGTGTCTGTGTACCGACTCAGAGCCAAAGGTAACGGTCACACAGCTGCCGATCAATCAATCAATCAATCAATCAATCAATCAATCAATCAATCAATCAATCAACCAACCAACCAACCAGTCAGTCAGTCAGTCAATCAATCAACCAATAAATCAATTAACCAATCCGTCAATCAAGCAACTAATCAATCAATCAACCAACTAATCAATCAGTCAGTCAATCAACCAATCAATCAGTCAATCGATCAACCAATCAGACAACCAATCAACCAATCAATCAATAAATCAGAATGAGAAATACTTTGATAATGCAAGAGGGATACTATTATGCAATCAATCAATAAATCAATCAGTCAATCAGTCAATCGATTAATCAATAAGTAAGTGAATCAATCTATAGATATATCAATCGACTAGTAACCAATCAACCAATCAATCAGTCAATGAAAAATCAATGAAAAAAATAAATCAAAAACAAATAATCCAAACAATCAACCACTCAATCAACCAATCAATCAATCTGTCAATAAATAAATCAATCAGTCAGTCAGTCAGTTGATTAATCAATCAATATATAAATTAATTGATCAATCAGTCCTTCAATCAATCAATCAATCAATCAATCAATCAATCAATCAATCAACCAACAGATCAATCAGTCAGTGTTTTTCAGGCCTCTCTGACTGAACTCTCCATGTTTTATTGATCTCTTCATTTTCTTTCTCACCTGCTCTGATTAAAGGAAGTAAACAGCCCGTCTCCGTGGCGACGGCCCCGCCCCTCCAGGCTGAGCCGGGATTGGACGATGACTACGATGACATCACCACAGAGCATCAGTTCTGAGGCTGAAATGTGTCTGTGTGCAGCCGGTCAGAAGGCGTCTGCCCCCTGGTGGTGGAGACAGGAAACCACAGGTGTTCATGCAGGACTTTCTTCCTGTTTCTGGAGACTTAAAGGACCTAAAAATGGCCTCATTGACCAGAATAAAAAGGGCTGTAACCTGTGTGAGTGTCTGAGTGTGATTTAAAGCGACGGCCTGAGGGTCGGACTGTGTCGGACCTTTGCTGATTCGGCCAGTCCTCATCACAAAGCTGCTCTTCACCCTCTCTGAGGCTGAGCCCTCCACTCTCCAAAGGAAACCATCTGAATCAACATTTATTACAGTTAGTTCCAATTCAAAATGAATTAGAGGCCTTAAAACTCTGTAACACACAAACTTTACCAGGACAACAGGAACTGACGCGGCCGATGAGGACGTTCTGCACTGTGGGGACGTCTGAATGTAACCAGTGTTTTTCCATTACGCTCTGTAGGGCGGTTCCTGTTTTACTGCTGGTTATCACACTGCATACGAATGAGGGGGCAGGTCCCTTATTAGAGCATCAGTTTTAGTATTATTATTTTGTTTCAAATTCAAACCGTCCTCGGATACTACATAAACTTTAATAACTGACAGAGCTTTTTAAAACTACATTGTAAAATAATAGAGTTCTGTGATGGACTTTGTTCACATTTCCTTATTATTTCATTGCTTTCATCTTTAAATAACTTAGCATGTCACTCGACCTGTGGCAAGCAGAAAAACCACACAGATTCACACAGGAAGGGGGCGGGCTGCATCTGGGGCAAAAAGCTCAGAGTGGTTAAGAGACAGACAGACGCAAAGATGGAGGCATGTGCTCAGTACCTGCTCCGTAAGTAGTGATGATCTTTTCTGTTTTCTCTGTTTTCTCTGTTTTCTCTGTTTCTGCTCTGTGGACGACTTCTGATGGGGGGACACACTGAAACAGGTCAGGCTGAAGTCAGGTGGAAAATGCAGCCTGATGAGCTGCTTCAGGGGGAGCTTTAGGGGCTTTAACCAGGAAGTAAGCACAGAGAAAGGCCACAAACAGCCAGAGAAACAGGCCGAAAGGCTCCAGATGTGCAGCAGCCTGCTCAGAAGACACAGTGAGAGCTCTTTGCTTTGGTCCAGACTAAAGCAGAAGCCGTCTGCAGACAGCTAGTCCTGTCTGTCCGGACTCAGACGGCTCCCATGTGTCTGCTTCCTGACTGTTACAGAGGGAAGGAAGGCTCTGCTTTGGGACTTTCCATCAGGGCTCTCAGAGCAGATCTTTGGGTTCCTGCTCTGTTTTTCTGAGCTCTGCTTTCCTCGGCTTGTTGCTTTATGCTGTTGAGTTCTCCAGTCCAGCTCAAACCCACCTGAGTGTGTTTCCTCTCCAGTTGTGACCTCACTGCTGAGCGGCTCCACACACCAAGGTTGGTCCCCTTTTCCCAGCATGAGGAGCTTTAGCTGGACAGATGTTATCCAGCAGCATCAGGGCTGAAACTGACTCCTGTTTCCTCCCTCTCAGCGGCTCTGACTGTGAGTCCCAGCAGCTCTCAGTTCTTCATAAAGGACTCTGTGTCTCTGAGCTGTGAGGAGGACGGCAGCTCTGCTGGATGGACTGTGTGGAGGAACACCAGCAGAGGAACCAGGACCCAGTGTGGAGCAGACTGGGGGAACCTGACTAATTCTGTCTGTAGGATGAGTGTTGTCTTTGAAAGTGACAGTGGTGAATACTGGTGTGAGTCGGGCGGGGGGGCGGCCGGTCCCAGCACCCCCCTCACTGTCTCTGGTAAGATCAGACTGTGGAGTTAGTGCTGA